ATGACATTTTCTGCGGCTATCTTCCCAAAAATCCGTGGCACTCCATAATTCGCATGCATATACCCCCCTCTATACATAGTCTGTATACTGTATGTATTGGCATCTCGTCCATTGGAGAGTGATTTCCGCAGAGGGTGCCGCTGCATAATGGGCTCTCAAAGTGATTGCCATTCTTGACGGGTGCTGAATCCCGGCCTCTCCTTTCTTCTCTTCTCACGCTCTCATTCTTTTCTGCACAAGATTTCCATTGTAGTATTCTATCCTACGAAGGGCACACCGGAGATTAAAGTGCACACACGCGACACTGAAATAAATTGACAAATTTTTCAAACTGTTCAGATTTTTTTTTTCATCTAGGGTTTCTCATTGCTGACGAGTTCCATAAAGAAGTGCCGTAAAAGGTTAGATAGAGTGCTGGGCTACTGGGGTGTGTGTTCGGGATAATGAACCAATGAATTGCTTTCTTTTTAAGTTAGTAGCGAGTTTATTCGCCAAAAATAGGAACAAAAGCAAATGGAGTCTTATAACAACGGATCAGTTTCACAATAATAAACAACCTCGTCGCAATTGGCGTCATTACTTCGCAGCCTCTATACGCACATAGAGAGCAAGGAACATCCGTATTGTTTTAATTTGTGAGGTCTTTCTCACAAGTTCTGGAACTATTTGACAATATAAAAGAGAACATTACATTCTGAAATTATAAATACCGTATTTACTCGAGTACCATGCGCCATCGAGTATGGCGCGCACCCCCATTTTTCCACCAGAAATTAATTCAAAACCCTATCCCCGTGTAAGGCGCGCACCCCAGTTTTTTGTTGTTGCTGAGAGTCAAAAAATTTGAGATTAAGTTGAAATGTGAAAACGCTTTATTCTTGAATTCATTTTTCTTCATCAATAATTTGTATTTCTGTCTTTTTCCATCTACAGAAGCAGTAAAAATGCATTTGGAATATAGGACAGCTTCCTCAATTAGATTGTTATCCCCCCCCCCCTTCCTTTACTTCCTGTTGCATCTCCAAGAGATGCAACAAATTGAGCAATTATTCTTCATGCAGGAAGAGACTTGGCGCCACACTTTTCCTCTTTCATTTTTTTAAACTTTGATGTGAGGGACACTGGGTTTGGAAATTTTCCCATAAAATTCATCCCCGAGTACCACGCGCACCCTGTTTTTCTGCCACAATTTCTAGAAAAAAGGTGCGCGTACTGGTACTTGAGTAAATACGGTACTATATGCATTGCTTCCCAATAATATGACACATTAATTGGACGAGTCCTACAGCTAAAAGTTCATCCTTTTTTATTTCAATGATAACCCACTTGGCTTTTTCAAATTCCTCCTATATTCTCCCATCCATTCGATTCCTGAATGTTGCTATTATTATTTTCCGCGGTTGTGCAGATTCAACAAAACAAAAATATTTTTAAATATTCACGAGAAAATTTCCGTTTCTATTCATAATTTGTGTCCTGAGAACCGAAATTTGCCAATAATTGGACCTCGTTGACAAAAGGAAAAATCTCTCACCGCTGATAATTAAAAATTGAAAATCTTTTCGCAGGAATATCCGTTGTGCAGAAACTTTGGGAAAGTTCGTAGGTCGATCTTTTGTTTGCCTGGTGGAGTTTATACCATGCGATCAATCCTCGTCATCATCACAGCCTTGCGGGGAGTTTCAGTGTCCCTATTATATTCTTTCGCCTTCGCCTGTTGCTTCCACATTGCTTCTGCTAACGCAGCTGAGCTGAGCAACAGAATCTTCTTTTTTTTCTAAAATAAGGAAAAAAATTCTTTACTTTATACGGTATTCCATTTCATGAAGGATTTGGATCCAATAAGCTTGAAGACGACGCGGGCTGTGTCCCTTGGAATCAAAGTTGGTTGTGAATCTTTAAAGTGCACTTTTTTTCTTGATTTGATTCATGGAAACTGAAGAGGGAAGTGGAATTGATCATTTTTGAAAATTGGCTTGGATTTTTCGCAGTGAAAATTGTTTGCAGTGAAAATTTCCCAAAACTCATGCATAATACTGTACAATGATTCAGTATACTTTTTTTCATTTTTGGAAAATTTGTATAGTGCTAAGAGAGCAGTGTCATAAGCTTGCAGAAATTTGCAAACCGGCAACCCTTTTTGATTTGCTGAAACTAGGATAAAACTGGGTTTGGACCTCAGCTGCCTTGGCTAACAAACCGAACATCTCGTTGGCTAACATTTGACTTGGTTTACAAACTTTGGTTACTTCATGTGTGAATGGGTGACATTTTTGATTGTGGCAAAAGTCTGTGATTCCTTGCTCAACACAATTTCTCTTGCTGATGCATTCATCCATAGTGTTCCAATCTAAAATTCTGCATTGAAAAAGTAAGAAGAACAATTTCCCTTTCAGAGTTCTGATTATTAGTTCAAAAATGTTTCATGTGAGCCAGAAAACATTTTTAATTCTTTACATTTGAAAAAATTTCAACATTTTTTCTAGATGCCCAAGAGTATGGGACAACTCTCAAATATTTTGAAATTGAAGATTTTAAAACAGCTGTTGTTCTTCAACAAGCTCCTCTTATACTTTATTGCACAGCATTTTTGAAATCTGGACCCAGTAACTTGAAAGAGAACCGCTGCCACCAGTAAAGTGGATTATAAGTTTATTGTACTCCTTTTTGGGTTCAGAGTAAGCTAACTCATCTCACTCCAGAAGGTCATGAGGTTAACCAGAATAATTGACCTTCATTGGTCTTTGAAGGAACCTTTAAGAGGTTCCCCTACACTACAATTTCTAAAAACATGTGTTCTTGATTTTCATGGGCACTTTCAATTTTTTGGAACCTATTGCAATTATTTTTGTACTTTTTCGAGCAAAAATGTGATTTGGTAAACTATCCTATGAACAAACTTTGCTCAGGAGCAGATATGCTTTGTTTGTAAACAAAGACACCCCTGGAGAAACAACCCATGAACTTTAATCTATACCGCCGGTCAGTCGCCAATGAATTACACGACGATTGCGGAAATAATCACAACACGTTCACCTTGAGAAACTCGATGGAAATCCGCGTTTCGTTCAGTTTTCTTCCTATATTCTCACGATCCCTTGCTAAGGTTCCCGACTCTGCGTCTATGCCGGGGTACACGACTACTTTTACGCCCTATTCGGCAGGCTTTCTTTGCTCTGCGAGTCGTCGCGGCCAGTAATTCCTAGGCTCTATGCCTGCGTACTCTCTTTGCCTTCAGCCACGATTGTGTCTGAGCCTGGAGCTGTTCCCAGCGCAGCAGAGCAGTTCGTTAAAAGAACAGCTCGCCTCAGGGTCCGTCGATCCCCCCCTTCTTTTTTTGTATTCATTTGATATTATATATAGTATTCAGGCACGCTGATGGCAGCATAATGGGTTCCTTCTTGGGTTGGCCGGGGCTTAGTTGTGTCGGTGATAGAGCGAGCACAAGGACGGAATGAGTGTGGAAGAATCTGACACGCCGTCTGGATTTTCCACATATTGTTATTTATGCATTATTTTATTTAAACCTGAAAAGTGTGAATTGTTGCTGGTTCCTGATAAGTGATGCGGGATGAAGGGGTTTTTTCAGTTGTGTGCTGCAATTATTGCTGGTATTCCTGGAGATAAGTAAATGTTCGAAGAGCATTGAAATATATTGTTTAAACCAGTGTTCCCAACCTTTTTAGTCCATGAACTGGTAAATTTCCAAAAAATTTAACATTTTTCAGACTGGCTAATTCCCAAAAAATGTTCTGCAGACTGGCAAAGTTTCATAAAGTTTTTATAGACTCACCAAAGTTTTGCTTGAATCTTATTAGGCAGGTATTTACAAGAAAAATTCAGCTAAGAATGTCAACAAACAATTAGAAAGGTGGGCATCATATGGAGAAACCTTTGTTCAAATTAAAAATTAAAATTATTCATTTCAGCAGGTGATAATTTGTCTGAAGTGCTATCAGGAGGAAAGCCTTATGTTTTCATCAAATAATTCAACTGCCATTGTCCTTCCAAAAATTTTTACTTAAAGAGAACAGACTTCATACCGAATTTTGATAAATTGATCATGCTGAAAATTTCTTACAGACTGGCAAAAAAAAAAATTCTGCGGACTGGCATTGGTTAGCAGACCATGGATTGGGGAACACTTATTTAAACATTATACACAAATTCATGCAAAGAATGAATGCTCTCAATATTCATATACAGGTGGTACCTCGCAATTTGACCTCCTGCAATTTGACAGTCAAATTTGCAGGGAGGTTGCCTTGCAATTTGACCCTTGCCCTGCAATTTCACCTGCTTTCTTTGTTGCATTTTTGTACGTATATTTTGACTTAGACAGAGTGTCTTGCAATTCAACTGATTTGAAAGGCAACCCTAGTTTGGCAGTGAATTAGGGTTGAATTGCAAGATACCACCTGTACACTATATATCAAATATGGACGTGCAGAAATTGGCCGAATTATTTAAGCTGAATTCATTCCTGTGCTAGGGAAAATTTTTTTTTTTCAGAACGCTGAAGTAGTGACTGAAAACTGAGCAAAATTACTCAGTGAATCTTGATGCTGTGGCGTGGACATTTTGAAGAATAAAATCGCTCATAATTTAGTAAATAATATTACATCATTGATGATATTGGCGTTCAAGGTTGTTTTAATTGATCTAGTGAAGCAGACACTTTTCAAATTCTAAAATTTATCGTTCTCCGATTTTTCCAACCCAAAGATATTTTAATATATAAAATGACTTAAATCTAAGAGAAGCAGTCCGCATAAAAAGGCGCCTAAATTTGTATATCTAATAAATAGTGAAAGTTTGGACGTAAAAACTAAGCTATTACCAAGTCATCAGTATTTTTCTTAGATTTCTATGGGAATATTTATTCAGCATGTCGGGAGAAGTTAATTGCTCTAATTAAGAACTTTGCAATTTTCTGCATTTAACTGAATGGTAATAGTAAGCATGGAATTTTCAATTCTCAAGCATGTTCGCCATCAATGTTTCTTGTTTGCAGGCAGCGCGTGACGAAGAAATTCTTTCGAAAACTTGAATTTCCAAGCGCTAAGATGGATTCGGAACAGTTTAAAGCAGCAGCTAGAGATATGGTCGATTACGTCGCAGGTTATTTGGACACCATAGAATCGCGACGAGTCGTACCTGATCTTCAGCCTGGTTACATCAAGGAGCTGATTCCTGATCACGCCCCTGAAGATGCAGAGCCTTGGTCTGCTGTGTTGGGTGACCTGGACAGGGTCATCATGCCCGGGGTGAGGCAGGAGTTCCGATCGCAATCAGATTTTTCGTGGATTTATCAAATTGCTTTCAAAGTGAGCAGGGATGAGGCAGTTTGATTGAAGATCGCCATTTTTTTCAGATCACTCATTGGCATAAAGGCGCCAAAGTGCGAAAGATAGGCTGACGGTTGAGCATAGGTCGCTAAAACCCCCTGTACAACAGTCTACGTTAACCTACGTAACCGAAGTGAACCCAGTCATATTTCATTTTAGCGCAAAGTTTTCGTGCGAGTATTTTATTTTCAATTTCCGGATAGGTTCTTTTTTTATTCGTCGAACACTTCTCAGAAAAATGAGAGCTGGTCACACTGAGACCCTACATATTTTATGTAAATATTTTATTTTGCTTATCAAGATTACTTACATAGTCCAAAAAATATTTCTGACACTTCGAACAAGGCATGGAAAGAACTGATGATAATTTTTTAGCCCGATTTTCCGGTAAGAAGTCCCTGATTTAATTTGACGTAAATCCCAAGTACATATTTTCACGGTACTCAACTATTTCAGATTATATTACCATCTGCATTATCAAAAACATTATTAATTCGGGAGCTGTTTTCGGACATGCAGTAAAAATTTAGTGGTTGACACAAACTCGCCGAGTTTAAAATTGTAAAAATCGTTTCCTAGAATATTTAAGTGAGATCGAACTTGATCTAAAAATTATTTTTCATCGTTTTGAAAAAGTTCCGTTTAATTTGAATCAGTATAAATCCATCGTAAGAATCTAAATCTATTTTATATTTATGCAAATGAATCTCACACGTCTTAGAGTTGGAATTGATCAAATTCTCAAGTATGCTGGACTATCCATTCTAAAATGCATTATAAGCATTTTCAAATACAGTATAGATAATGACATTACAGCATAAATTCCATGTCTTTTCCAAGATAAAGTTCGCGCCGACCAGTGCATCTCAAATTGCTCACACTCAACACAGGCAACATTTTCGGAATAATGTGATTGATGAAAATTTTCTCTGAGCTAGTATCGATGACTGATAATCCGGATCCAATTTTGTCAATTTCACTTTCAGAAATCTAGTCCTGCATGCACGGAACTGGAAATGGTCACCTTGGACTGGTTGGGCAAACTCCTGGAACTGCCCGACGAATTCTTGTTCTCAGCTTCCGGGGGAAAGGGCGGTGGTGTCATCCAGGTCAGTTTACGAAGAAAACCCATAAAAATGCAGACTGCTGTATTTAAATGACGAGAATAAATGAAAATGCCCTTTTTCGAGATCAGCTTTTAGTGGATATGTGCTGGATGATAAAACGAGCCTTTATTTATTTAGCGGATTACATCGTCCACCGCATCCATTTGAATACATTATAGTTGAAAATGACTCATTAAAAGCAGTACAGTATAGAAAGAACAATATTCATTCTTTCCTCGCTTTTTGATCAGCAATCTGAAAACGAGTCGAAGACATTCCCGATCTTTTATTCACTGTTTAATTTGATTGTTTGCGTCTGTCATGCAAGATGAAAGAAATGATTACGATTTGAAAGGCATCGGGATTAATTAGAACTGGTATATTCAGGAAAATATATCGCATTAACGAAAGTACCACGTTTTACGAAGAAAGTCTTCATACTTGTAACAATTTTATAGTCCTGTTTTTATGGATTATATGATTCAAACGAAACAAAAACAACAATGTTGAATTCAATTTTTAAATGAGATTGAACGTGAATTTTAACACAAGGTGTTGTCAGATTTAAAAATATTAAACTGAAAAAGAGAGAAAACTGAGGTGCGCGTCTTATGTGAGGGCGAGTATAGTTAGTTGAATAATGCAGTACTGTATAACAATTGAATGATTTAAAATGTATAGCACCTCATTGTTTTGGTATTCTCGAAACCTTATATGGGTAAACAAAATTTGATTGATGCATCTCCGGAATATTGAATGATTGATTGAAGGGCACTGCGAGCGAAGCCACTCTCGTGTCGATGCTGGCCGCCAAGACACGCATGGTGAAACGGAAAAAGTCCGAGAACCCGGATTTGACTGACATTGACATCATCGGGAAACTTGTGGCTTACTGCTCAGGTAACCTTGATATTTGATGTCTCATTATTCACCTCACCCTGATGTTTGAAAAGAAAACTGCGAAAATAAAATAGAAAATAAACAGGGGTTGGCTAACGCAGAAGTTCCCAGCCTTTCCGACTCACGGAAGCTCGTTTTACAATTAAATATTTACAGTGAGAGGCACTTTTCGTGATAAATTTATGATGGCGGAATCTTGGAACTGTATCCAAAAACTTTAAAAGTATTTCTTCCATAAAAATTAAAACTTGTCGTCCAGTGCGTATAGTCTATAGTAAATGCTGGATTTTGAGTATAATGGTAGTCATTACTAATTGGTATTTTCTCTGATTTGGATTTCCTCAGACTAACTAATTTATTCACTATTTGGAATTTAAATTTTTCTTTCAAAAGGTACAGTATAAAGAAAAATGACAGGAAAGCTGCATTCTGTAACAACCAAAATATTGTAGCTGTCGTTTTCTGAACCATCCCATCAAAAATTGAAAGCAAGTATCAAGCGAGGAAATTTATGAAAAAAGCTCAGGAAATCCTTCTCTAAATTAGACTTGAACTCGAAGACTATGTATCTGTCAAATTACTTGGGAATATTTTGCAGACGTTAACATTGTTCCGATCCATTCGACAAATTCTAAATCAGAAGCTTCTTCGTGAGTTGGCATCGATCTGCGCAGAAAAATACATTTGCACGACAGATTTTAAAAATACATACGATGTATGTAAATAGAAAGGCGAAAAAAGAAAGAGAGAAATCGGAGCGATTTTCCCATTGAATTGAGCATAATAATCCACGCAGCAATGCTTTTGATTAGATTCTAGCCGCAAAAAGCTTGGCGAGGAAATTTGACTTGCTATTCCGAAAATTGCAGGCCAAACTCCTGCACATTCAATTGTTAATTTTTTTTGGAGTTTACTCTACATTTGGCATCGAAGGCACGTTGGGTTATTCAATTTAATTCGGGCGATTGTTTTTGTTTATTGTTTTCAAATTCACAGAAAATGCTCACTGTAGCGTGGAACGAGCAGGAATGATTGCAGGTGTGAAAATGCGACTGGTTCCTTCGGACGACGAATTTCGAATGCACGGTTCCAGTTTGGACGAGGCAGTGAAAGAAGATTTGGCAAAAGGATTGATTCCTTTCCACGTGAGGCTTTCGCAAACTTTCCAAACCAAACCATTTGATAATCGAGAGTTTTGAAATCAGGTCAGTGCTACGCTGGGGACGACCGATTGCTGCTCGTTTGATGACCTGTTGTCCATTGGACCGGTGGCTCAAAAACACGAACTTTACATGCATATCGATGCTGCTTATGCTGGTTTGAAGCACACATTTTGAATTCAATATTTAGAAGAATCGATGATTCAAGATTGATTATTTATTCAGGGGCTGCGTTTATTTGTCCGGAGTACAGACATCTGCTGAATGGAGTCGAGTTCGCCGATTCTTTCAATTTCAACCCGCACAAATGGATGCTCGTGACGTTTGATTGTTCGGCTTTATGGTGAGAAGAATTTCGAAATTTTATCGAAAAGAGGTACGAATTACTGTTTTTTTTCCACGTGCCATACTTGGATAATAGGCTGAAAAACTCGTCAGAAATCGTTGATGCTTTCAACGTCGATCCGATCTACCTCAAGCATGACCAACAAGGTTTGGTGCCTGACTATCGGGTACGTTTTTAAAATTCTTTGCCAATTTCAGTTCAGAGAATTAATTTTTAGTTTCGTGATTTTTCATTTTATTTTGTGATAGCATTGGCAAATTCCTTTGGGGAGACGATTTCGGTCCCTCAAATTGTGGTTTGTGTTGCGACTTTACGGTGCCAAGCAGATTCGGGCTCATTTGCGAAAACAAATAGCTTTGGCAGAAAGATTTGCGCAACACGTCAAATCTGACGCGAGGTTTGACATTCCGGTGAAAAACCACATGGGACTCGTCTGTTTCCGATTGAAAGAAGTACGTATTCAATTTTATGTTTTATCTTTTTTAATTTGACCGAAGTGAATGCACTTCCTTTTTTATTGAATTAGTTCATTTTCCGTTTTCATCATGGTATCGTCGTATTGCATTATTTTTATGGGTTAATATTGCAAAAATTGAGGGTTAATTCGTTCAGATTCAACCCATCGAAATTTTACAAGTCGTTTTCCGTGGATTTTGAAGTCCTCAAACGAGTTTTGTTGATACTCACTTGAAAATCGTTTTCGAAAAAATGGTTCAATTAGAGGATAACCGGTGGAAATGATTGCGCTGAAGCCTTGATAAATGTCGGATATTTATTTAATGAATTGTCATCATTCAAATTCGAACGCATAAAATATCCTGGTGAATTGTTGACGAGTATTGTAAATTGAGAAAAACTGCCCTTCATCAGTACTGAAGAGACACATCAGTACTTGCTGAAAAACTGCTGCTTCGGAGATACTGTACTGTTGATGTTTTACAGTACTGTCCTTGACCAACCCAGTCTTGGGCAAAGAAAACATTGCTTCCTGAAATCCTGTCAACATTGAACACTTCATCAAGTGCACTATAAAATTTACCTGCTTTCAATATCATCTGATTAATTAATTCTTGGACTTTTGAGTCATTCTCTGCATCTTTGCGATCTTGGCAAATAATTATTGCAGGAGTACTTTCAATTATGCTTTCAAACGACCTTGAAATATCTTATTCGGTATCAGAAAATCTATAGAATAATTTAGTGAAATTTATTCAACCCTCAACATAACTTTCTCCCGGCTTAACTATTTTTAAATTATGTATTCTAGTTATACTAATACGAATCTACTATAATAAAGTTGCTTGGTGTTCGCAGCATTTTTTTAATTTTTGGGCTCTCCCTTCCTTCCTGCCCCTTACCACCCTCCCACAGAGCCCCAGAGAGGCCTGCAGGAGGGTCCCGTTTCCCGGCGATTTAACTTTTAAAAATTGTTACAAATTCAATTTTTGATAAAATGCACTTTTTAAAACTTTAAAAGAAGCGCCAAGATGTTTGCTGTCTTTCCCTTTTTCAAATTTTAAAAAAGCTCCAAAATTGACAAAGTTACAATGAAAAACGCAAAACGTTTTTCAAAAACGGGGATAAAACGGAAAAAAATACTTTTACATTTTTAATTTTAGCTTTTCAAGTTTTTGGTTTTGCTCAATGAAAAAAATACCTAAATTCGAAAAACATCTATGCGCAATCACCCCTAAAATATTATTAACATTCCACTTATAACAAAAAAGTTATCATGAGCTAAACTGAAGAAAACGGACATTTTTGAAAATTCCGTTTCCTGTTCTGCTAACTCTAAAAATTTGTCAAAATTTTAATTATTCAGCAATTTCCAAATTGTTTCAAGGGTTATGTGCGCAATGAAGTTTTCAACATTTCCTTTTTTGAAATGTTTGAAAAACTTCAAAATTGCATGAGATAGAATCAAAAACGCAAAAACATTTATGAAAATTGTATGAAAATTGGGAAAAAAGATTTTGTATTTATAATTTTTACTCATTCAATTTTCAACATTTTTCAGACATAAAAATATGTAAAATCATAAAACATCTGTGTGCATGTAACCCAGTCAAAAAATTTGAAATTGCATCAGAATCCTAAAAGTTATAATGAGCTAAACAGAAAAGTTTTAATTCCTGGATATGCATCTCTTCCTGTTTTGCCAACTTACAAAATCTGTTTAAAATTCAATTTCAACTCAATCTTCAAATTTCTTACAATGTTGCAAGCACCCAGATGTTTTTCAAATCTCACTACTGTATATGCAATTTTCAAAAATCTTCAAAATTGAATGAGCTATAGACAAAAACGCAAAAACTTTTTTTTAAAGTGCAAAAATCATGGGGGGGGGTTTCACTTCTTCATTTTTTGCTTGATCAATTTTCGACATTACAAATTGAAAAAGAGTTGATTTTTAAGAACATCTTTGTGCACACAGCCCTGTCAAAAATTTCAAGTTGGAATCATTAGTGGTAGCACACCTGGCAATGTGCATAAAACTGATGCTTCTTGGCACATTACCAGCTTTCAGCATTCAATTTTTTAAAATTCATTTACATCATGTAACAATCATACATTCATGTTTGGCTGGGCACTCCAAGTTGGGATTGTAACAAATAATAAAACCCCCCTGCTCATGTGCCAGTTGTGGCCCACAGGGCCACAACTGACACATTGAGCACAAGTACAA